GGGATTTTATTGTAACTATAAAAAAGAGTGACTAAGGTATATAAAAAGAAACCTGTGGTTCAGATTTATTGTGCTGTATGTCCTCAACAGTTTAATAAAAGAAAACCCAAAGCTCTTAGGTGTTCCTCTGGGGTTAATGCTAACACCACGCATGTTCCCCACCAGCCCAGTTTCTATCTGTGGGTCACACTCTGGTTCAGAGACTTAGAGTGGGTAATAAGATTATAAAACATGTCTCTTGCTTGCCAGCTACCACATGCTAATAGTAATGGGATTCATAATTCACTGGATACTGGGTTTTTAGGTTTTACTTGGTTCGTTTGTTTAATTTAAAGGAACAAATCTTGAGAAGAAATAAGGCTTCCCTGAATAAAGGGGAAAAAATTAGATCCTTTTAGCAGAACTGAACACTGCCTCTAATTTGTGTACAAGTTCTGTCCTCAGTTGGCCGCTTGAGCTGGAGGTGAGGGGCTGAGCATAAGCCGGGACTAGGGGTGTTTAAAGCAAGTTTTCTCAACCTTGGCACTCTTGAAACGCTGGGTGGCTAGTTCCTCTTGTGCAGGGAACAACATTACATCCCCCCAGCCTCTGCTCACTAGAGGCCCACGGCATACCCTTCTCCTCCCCTCCCCCAGCTGTGACCAGCAGAAGTGTCTCCCCAAGTCACCAGATGTTCGCAGGGGACACACTGCCCCCAGTAAGTGCTACTGCTTTCAAGCAAAGCAAGTTTCAAACATTTCCTTGTTTACCCAAAAGCAGCCAGGACTGTGGCTTTTGTTTCTTGTTCTTTTTCGGGGGGGAGGGGGGGACGGGGGTTAGAAGGTAACTAGAAGGGACCTAGCATTTGAAATCACATTCTGCCATGCCTTTTCCTAATCAAGTCACAATCTGATATTAGCTTCACATTTCAGAGACTTATATACATGCTCAGAAATGCTACGGTTGACCCTTGAAAGGAACAGGTATGAACTGCATGAGTCCACTTTGATGTGAATTTTTTTTCTGGTCAGTATAACACAGTTCTGTAAATGTGCTTTCTTTTCTTTATGTTTTCTTAATAGTGTTTTATCCCCCTAGCTTAGTTCATTCTAAGGATACTGTTTGTGTGTGTTAATTTACCATGTTATCGGTAAGACTTCAGTCAACAGCAGGTTATTTAATAGTTGAATTTTGGGAGCGTCAGCAGTTACATGTGGATTTTCGACTGCCCTCCTGTCGTTGAAGAGTCAGCTGTGCGTGGAACCATCCTTCCGTCCAGGTGAAATAACCATGGATGGTTATTTGTGGATTATTCTTCAAGTTGAATGTGCTGATGTGATAAATGGCTTCAGCAAAGTCGTATTTTAATAACCTCAATTGGAGTCTGACCCTTCGTATCTTTCTCTTTTCCTCGAAGTCTTGTACCTCAGTGATCTTGGGATTCGTTCGGGAAATTCAGTGTTTGAGTTCAAATCCCTCAACTCTTACTTCTAAATAATCCTTGTTATGTGATGCTTTCTAGAGATAGCAGGAATTAAAGGGAAAAATTAACATGCATGGGTTTGAAATTGTTTATTTTTCGGTAAGCTTTAGTTTAAGGGAAAAAACTCTTCAGTTTATTTGAATCTCTACAAATATAATGCAACTTGAGGTTGGCAGGAGTCGACCTGTCTGTCAGACTTAACCTTTTGCATTTTTTAGTTAATACTGGGGATCTTGGGGTTTCATACTTCTTGGGGGTGTGGGAAGTATGTCAGTGTCTGGGTCACTGGCTGTCAATCTTGACATCACATTGGTATCACCTGGGGAATGGATAAAGAAGATGTGGTCCATATATACAATGGAATATTATGCAGCCATCAGAAAAGATGAATGCCCACCATTGCATCCACATGGATGGAACTAGAGGGGATTCTGCCGAGTGAAATAAGTCAGGCAGAGAAAGACTGTTATCATATAGTTTCATTTATATGTGGAACATAAGAAATGGTGCTGAGGATCATAGGGAAAAGAACGGAAAACTGAATGGGAAGAAATCAGAGAGGAGAACAAACCATGAGAGACTCCAGAAAACAAACTGAGGGTTACAGAAGGGAGGGGCGGGGGGATGGGGTGACCGGGTGGTGGTTATTAGGGAGAGCACCTATTGGGATGAGCACGGGGTGTTACATGCAACTACTGAATCGCTGAACTCTACAACAAAAACTAATGATGTACTATATGCAGTTACCTGGGGAGCTTTGAAATAGCCCAGGGCCAGGCCACCTCCCAGACCACTGAAATCAGATACTCCAGTGGTGGAGCCCAGACCGGAGTGCTGGGTGATCTCTTCCCTTTCCTCCACTGAGACCGAAGGTTGTAAACCAGTGTACCTTTTTTATACATAAAGTTTTATTGGAACATAGCCATGCTCATTCATGTACCGATTGTCAAGAGACCCTCTGGCTTGCAAAGCCTAAAATATTTCCTGTTTGGCCTTTTACCAAAAACATTTGCTGATCCCTGCTCTGGACTCATAGCGAACATTTTTCAACATTTTGAAAAGAGGCTTTATACAAATTCAGAGTAAAAGAAAAAAAATCCAGCATTTTGCAGAGCCTGCAGGTCTCAAAACCTATCCGTTTACTTGTACACAGAGAACAGTGAAAAGCATTTTCCTTGAAGAACTGACTTGCAGATGTCAAATCAGAAGATGTGACCAGCTTAGCACCTGCTGTGGGTGGCGGGGAAGCCTCACCATTTGTTGCGATGTTGTGTGTGTTAAAGCAGACAGTTGGCTTCTTGCTCAAAGTTCATTACGTAGTCTGCAGGGGACTTCAGGGAGGTCTGGAGAGGCAGCAATGGCTCTTTCATTTGAAGAGAGTTGGAGTTTGGTCTTAGATGGTGGCAGACCTCTGAGAAAATTCCTTTAGCTCTGAGGAATCTCATGTATAAAAGGAAAAATCATGAAAACACAGCGCTATTTACATGATTTCCATCCTCCCTCCATGCAGGTGGAAAGTCAGCAGTGATAAACAATGGATCAAAAGAGTTTTTTAGAAGGTCCTTTTTGGTTGTAGGGCCCTGAAGATGTGAAGTGTGAGAGAAAGGATTGTTTACCCTGGTCCCTTGTCACCAGCATGAGGTTTTTGAGCCAGAAGGATCAGCATCTCCTGTGCCAGACTGAGGCCCTACCACACCCTTAGTGAATCAGAATCTGCTTAGCCCCAGGCCATTTGCATACATATTAAGAGAGCCCTGGGATGCACTGGTCTAACCGATATTGGCTTCTGTGCAGTTAAGTGGTCCCTACCCTCCTGTGATTTCATGGCCCTTTAATGGCTCTCCTGACCTGGGGTTCTTCATTATGGGCAGGCAGGTTTTCCCCTTTGGCTACTTCCAAGTATAGCCTGCTCAGCCTCTAATTTAATAAAGATTTATGTGAAGATAGGAGATGAAAATGGTGTGATTAAGCTGGAAGAGATACCAATTAGTATGCTTCAGAGAAACAGAGTAGGAAGGATAAAGGGAGCTTGCCAGATAAACTTCAATTGAGAGAAAATAATCAATTGGAATACAGTTGTCTTTGTTTTGCCGAGAAGAAGTAATCAACCCATCAGAGTGAGTATTCATTTGTGCTGGGGATCACTTGCGAAGGTTGAAAAAGTACACACAGGCCTGTAGTCATTGGAAAATTGCCCAAAACTTAATATTCGTAGATAATCTTGGGGAAGCCCAGTACGTAAATTTGCCCTGCCAGCCTGTCACGTTAGTACGAGTTTCTTAATCAAGTTGCATTATTGGATTGAAAAACATGATTTTGAACTTACTCTTTAATTCACGGACAGAGTTGATTTTTCCTGAACATTTCCTTAAATTGAATTTTTAAACAAAGTTAATACCACTTAAATTTAATTTTTTAAATGCAATATAAATAGGGGCGCCTGGGTGGCTCAGTGGGTTAAAGCCTCTGCCTTCGGCTCAGGTCATGATCCCAGGGTCATGGGATCGAGCCCCAAATCGGACTCTCTGCTCAGCGGGGAGCCTGCTTCTCTTCTTCTCTCTGCCTACTTGTGATATCTGTCTGTCAAATAAATTAATAAAATCTTTTTTTAAAATGTAGTATAAATAATTGAAGTCTAGCTGTTCTTGCTGGGAAGACAGGATCACATGCTCAGTGTCTATACCGGGGGTCATGCAGGAAATAGAACAGCTCTGCAACTTTGCGGAAATGGGTGGGGAGCTTCTAAGTCTTCAGGTCACATCACCTTACCTTTAAACGAGAGGTCAGGAAGCAATGGAGAGCTGCTCCATACATAAAAGCTGCCCCAGTGTCCCAAAGTCAGATTCTCATTTGCCAGTCATGTGTCTACATGACTGTAAAGTCAGCCTTCAATGTCTCCCTGCATGTCCTGTTTGCAGAATCCACATCACCTCAGGACCCTGGTGACAAGAGGGTCTGGGAAGTGGAGATCCCAGACTTGGGTTTTTTGCTATAGTGAGAGCATGGAAGGGGGCTGGGAAGAGACGTTGAGGATAGTATCAGGCACGTCATTGCACGAAAGGCAACAGCTTACCCTTACACAAGCTTTGTGTGTTGTCTTTTTTTTAAATGTTCTTTTTTATATGAACACAGTGAGGTAACCAAAGTGAGATGCCTGTTTTACACGTGAGGGAAAGTGAGGAAGCAAATAACTTGCTTATGGCTAAGTAACTAGAAAGAGCTGCGGTGACGTGTTGGCTCCTGGGCTAAGTTGTTCCTCTATTACTGTGTCCCTTAGTGCTTGTTAACTGAGTATCACGTGACCAAATGGGGCTTCAGGAGTGTTCCAGTAAGGACCCCAAGATAGAATAGTCACCTACAGGATGCACAGTTAGAGTTTCTAGGGTCATTGTGCTGGCGGGGGCGGGGGGGTGCATTTTCATGGTCGAAGGTAACTTCCAGCAGCAATAACCTGTTCTCTTACAGAGTCAGGCAGTTCTTGTAATCATTGTAAAATGCAACTTTGGGCTCAGTGTATTCTTTTTTTTTTTTTCTCAAGCAGATGAAAAACCCGGAGAACCGCCACGCAGTGAGTTCCCAGTACAGGATGCATTCTTATTACCCGCCTCCCTCCTACCTGGGCCAGAGCGTGTCCCAGATCTTCACTTTCGAGGATGGCCCCTCTTACTCAGAAGCCAAAGCCAGTGGTAGGTGTCTGGATGCACAGCTTGGATTGGGGTGGAGGGAGGATGAGTGGCCAATGCTGGGTCCCTAGACCTCTCCAAGGTCTTGCAAGTCAGGAGCTTGTGGGAGCTTGCCATGTGATTCCTCTGTGAGCATCCTTTACGGTATCTCATTAGGGAATGCTTTCGCTTTAATATCACGTCTTTTCTGACTACCTGGAGTGACAAGAATAAAATGAGAGACTCCCTTCAGAACCTAAAAAAATGTATTTTCTGGAGGACCGCTGTGAAATACAGGTTCAGAGGAAAATGTGGCTCAAACCCTGATATTTTTGGTGAGGTAAATTTCTCTGTATTGAATACTTGTACTGTATTGAAAACTTTTCCATTTCAATATTGAAGGCATATTCATCTTTTGGGGGAGGAAATGAAATAACTTAATAAAACATTTTTGAATACAATAGATCTCAGAGTTTATGCAGTAGCAATGCAAATAACTCTGATGTAATAGCTTTAAAATAAAAAATGACTGTTTAATGAACCAACACGGTTTGCAATACACAATTCCTCAACTTCAGTTTTAACCTTCTCCCGAGCATTTACACCGTGGTGATGGGCAGGTCTTTTATGACTGCTGTGTTTGTAGGCCCTGTTTTTAAGTTCTTTATATTTAAGCTTTATCTTTTGATCAAGGAAAGTGAGAAGATTACAGTCAAGGCTGTAAGTAGGAATCAGGGCAATAGTGTGTGACCTGCTAGTAAACCGACGGTTGGCCCTTGGCCTGCACCAAATAAGAAGAGGTTTGTTCTCTGAGTAAGGTGACACTCTACAGAGAACTTATTTCTTTGTAAAGCAGGCATTTAGACAACGAGAATCGAAACCATGCTTTGATTTCCAAATTCAGAATAAGAAAGTCTAAAAAAGCTGGGCAAGTTATGCTTTATTTGCCGTACTGAAATGAAATAGAGGGTTTCATTAATGCAGAGCGTAGAGGACAAGGGAACGGATCCTTTGGAACTGAAGAGGGGCTGAAGTACCCATTATTGATTGCACTTTGACTTTCATTAATGACCATTTATTGTCAGGAATGGACAAGCACAGCTCCGTATGATAAATATTCATACCATAGAACATATGCCGATGTGGTCCTTCTTTCACACTCTCTTTGATTCTATGTATTTGTTTGGCTTTTAAGCTCTTTAGGGACAGAACACATCTTAGTTACCTTTTTACCTGTTATGATGCCTTTTATTTGTTATTTATTGGTTGAGCGAATGAATGAATGAATTATTTTTTAAGTGAGCTTGCTACTCTGTAGAGAAACACCAGCCTAGAGGGTCAGGACCCTAACCCATTGTCTGTGGAGTTAGTGCCGATTGTAGCGATGAAGTAGTTAAAGAAATGTTTGTTCATACAGAAAATTAGGAGTGAAACCTTCTTTCGGGAAGAAATTGCCTGAGCTGCTTGCTCCAGGAATAATGGAGTATTTCCAGAAGCACTCACATTCTTGAGAGAAAGGTGTAAATTCAGAGCAGGGCAGTAAGATAAAAAGATAAGAGGAAATTTATTAGAGCAGAGAAGGACAGATATAAGAGGAGCAGGAGGCATTTGAATTTATGGCAGGAAAGGCTCAGAAGGAAAGAGGTTACAGTCCAGGACAGAAAGGACCGGCTGCACCAGTGCTCACCAGGAAAGACAGGGCAAATAGCAGTGAGGATTTCTTACATTTTTGCTGGTGATACGTGCGTTTGAAAGCATGAGGAGGCCTCAGGCTTACTCTCCTGGTGCCCCTCTCCCTCACCACTAGCCTCACTCCTGAGGGAGTTAGCTAGGAAGAGCTGTTAGTGGAACTCCATAATGTCTACTTTCGAATTGCCATGGAAAAAGACAATAAGAATAAATAGAAAATCCAAATAACAGCTAATTGTTTAAAGAAATGTGGCTTTATGACTTCCAAATGCATGGTGGGACTTCTGTGTTACATGGAATGTTTATAGAGCAAGTGGGAAAGGAAGAGGAAGTTGTGTTTGGGGGTGAAAAGGACACCTCCGGGGTCATCTCTTGGAGCATTGGAGCCTCAGTTTTATCATCAGCATTGACACAAGGGACAGCAGAGGCCCTTGTGTTGAGTGGGGCTGAGGCTGGTGGCAGGCTCAGTGGGTAGGGAGAGGGACAGCAGTATAGTCACCTGTGACAAGGTGACAGAGGCTGGCCAATAACCAGTTGCATTTATCACTTTGGGTTTGGGTTGAGATCCTTGGGTTGGTTGTGTTTTAATAAATAAGTTATGATTGGAAGATCTAAGCGGGGACTTGCAAGTAATTTGAAAAACAATGTTTTTCCATAGGCTTAATGCTTTCTTTAAAGTGTAAATTTGTCCGTTACATCAGTATTTCTTCACTTTCTTTTTTTTTTTTTAAGATTTTATTTATTTATTTGATAGACAGAGATCACAAGTAGGCATCACAAGATCCCTACCAAGCAGGTTCCCTACCAAGCAAAGAGCCTGATATGGGGCACGATCCCAGAACTCTGGGAGTCATGACCTGAGCTGAAGGCAGTGGCTTTAACCCACTGAGCCACCCAGGTGCCCCTCTTCACTTTCTTTTAAAAGAAGTTTAACCTGTCTTTACCATGTAAAGAAAGGAGTCCTGGTTCAAAGTCTTCTTCTGCTTTTGCTGAAGATGGCAACATGCAAATAGAATGTCATAGGGATTCCAGGGAAAGTTCCTTTTGCTGTGTCACTACTGCTTAATTTTCTCCTTGGTAAAGAGGCTAGGAGGCATTTCCTCCCCCTTCCATATCCTGAAAAGTGTCAGGAGGTAGATCAGAGAGACAAGGAGGCCCAGTCATGTAGCGCTCTGTAGAACATTGCAAGCACTTTGGCTTTTATTTCAAGTGACGTGAGAGGCCAGGCTTTCCAGCAAGGGGGCAGCCGGGGAGACATATCTGTCCCATGCATTTGGAAGCTCACTCTGGCTGCTGTGTAAGACCAGACTGTAGGAAAGCAGGTTGGAGGCAAGGAGTCCAGTAGAAGGCACTGAGTAATCGTTGCGAAAGGTGGCAGTGACCTAGGGAGGGTAGGAATGTGGTGGTACCGACAGGCGGTTTAATTCTAGATCTGCTTTGAAGGTAGAACCAACACGATTTGTGGATGGATTTGGGAGGTGCCAGTAAGAGAGAAGTGAGGGGATAACTATAGTTTTTGACCTCACCAAGTAGAAAATTAGAGTTTCTGTTTATTGAGGTAAAGAAGACCATGGTGGGATGGGCCTGGTTTGTGGGAATTAGGAGTAGTTTGCACATGAAGTTTGAGATGTTTGTGAGTCCTCCAGTGGATCATCAAATAGGAATGGATGTGTAAAGTCTGTTTCAAGTTGAGAGGAGACATTCTTGCTAGAAATAAAAGCTCAAGGGTCGTGTGCATAGATGTTAGTTGAAGCCAGTCTGGTGAGAGCCCCTGGAGAATTGGGTGTAAATGGTGGAGAATGAAGGACCGAAGATTGAGCCCCAGGGTCCTCCGGGGTCTGGACATGTGTCGCAGTTGAGAAGGACCAGCAAAGGGTAAAGTGACAAGGTGTGGCCAGCGGGGTAGGAGGAGAGCTAATGGGACATGTTGTCTTGCAAGCTGAGCAAAGAAAACATTTCAGTGAACATAGCCAAAGAAGCCGATAGGTCAGGTGAGAAGAGGGCTAGAATCAACCACCGACTATTGTATGGTAGGAATGATGGAGGAATCTGGACAGGTGGCCATTTGGGTGCGGACAGGGGAGCAAAAGCCTGACTACGTTTGGGAGTGCGCGGGAGAGAAGGTAGGGGCCAGGACACAGACACTTCTTTAAGGAGTTTTGCTGTAAGGGGGAGTCATGAAATGGGGCAGCAGTTGGAGGGGAGCCGAGTTCAAGGAAGATCTTTTCCTCTTTTTCAAAGAAAGGAGATAGCGCAGTAGGTTTGTATGCTGACGGGAGTAGTCCAGTAGAGGGAAGGTTTGCCCCACGGGCTGTGTGGGGTAGGGACCACCATTGTCAGGGACACTACCGGGGTGCTGAGTAAGCAAGACTAGTCAGGGCCCTGGCATGGGGGCGTGTGGGTGCTTCATTAATGGTCTAAGAGGAAGTGAGTAAAGGAACTAAACATAATGGAAAACTTACTAACAGTTTGACACCATGATTTAAGGTCTATTGAATCTAATTCGAAAATTGGGGTTTGAATATTTTTTTCTTTCATTTTTCTAGGAATTCATTTTTTTATCATGGTAAAATCCACCTGTCATAAGATGAACCATTAACCATTTTAAGTGTATAGTTAAGCAGCACTCGGACCTTTGCAGTGTTAGGCAACCATGACCTTTATCTAGTTCAAAGGCATTTTCATCACCCCAAAAGGAAAGTGCGTACCTAAGCGGTCATTCCCTACTCTCCTTTCCCCCAGCCCCTGACAGCCACTGATTTGCTTTCTGTCTTAAGGGACTTGCCTATTCTGGATGTTTTATGTGAATGGAGTCCTATAACATGTGGCCTTTTGTGACTGGCTGCTTTCACTGAGCATAACGTTTTTGAGCTTCCTCCAGGTTGTAGCAAGTATTAGTACTGAACTCCTTTTTATGGCCCACTAAGATTCCATTGTTGTGGATAAACCAAACATCTTGCTTTTCTGTTCTTCAGTCAATAAATATTTACGTTATTTGAACCTTTTATTGGGTGTTGTGAATTGCTATGCTGTGAACTTTCATGTTCTCCATTTGGAGAGCTGTGCTCATTTCTTCTGTGAGCATACCAGCAGCAGAATTGCAGGGTTGTATGGTAATTCTGTGTTTAACTTTTTGAGGACCTACCAGACTATTCTCTGTAGTGCCCGCACCATTATACGTTCCTGCCAGTGTGTGAGGGTTCCTATTTCCTTAGCCATCTCATGTTACGTACCATTTTTTAAATTATGATTCTAGTAATTCACTTTTGTTGTATCTTATGAAAGTATGAGACCGTGGGGGATTGGAAACAAAACCAATTCTAGGAGTGCCTGGC